TTGCTAAAAGTTTTCTCAAGCTATCTACGCATACGTCCCAAAAAAGCTTTCTATAAGGGATGTCCGAGTGAAAATATGCCCGATTTTTTTTTAGTTCTCCTATAGATATGTAGTTTAGGAAATAATGAAAATTCGAAAAACGGGCCAAAGAGCACGTCTTGATGGTGAAACTTGTTTTTCAGTTTCCAATGAACAGGAATCATACCTACCTGGGTCATTTAGCAGTTAAGAGAGTTCACTGGTCGCTTGATTTTCGAGATAAAGCTCGCGCGCAATCTCGGAGTGCAACAGAAAAAGTGACGTCACGGCCAAAGTGGCGCAAAGTGACACCCAAATTTTGCGGGATCGTATTCTCAGGACTCCTACGAACATGCTTATACAAATTTTTCTGGCGGATGGTGGCGGATGGGTAGTTAAAAGTTTACCTAAACTTTTTTTTTTCGCTTTTTGAGATGAGCACATTAGCGCAAACATAATCATTGAAAAAATGGGCCGAATACAAAAAATTACTAGTGCAATGTGTTCTCCAGACTCTGAAGAACAAGAATATGTCAATGAAATTAGCATTAATTTACACAGAAGCAAGTTAAATGGAAAAGAAAAACTCGGACGATTTTTCGCTATAATAAAAAGTTACGCAAAGCCCCTCTTTGATGCCTTCTGTCACAAAAATGAACATGTTTCGTTCTAAATCAATGTCAGATCCTTAAAATATAACTCTTGAGGAACACTTTTGACCCTTAAAAAATGCGATTCGCCCGAATCGCCCATGACCGACCTGTACCATTGACTCGATCCACCGTGCGTCGTGGAAAATAATTCAACTCGCTTCTACGTCGTTATGAGGGCGGAAAATTTGACTCGGGGAAGGAACGAGAAAATCAAAGGCCGCGCGGGTGAAAACAACCAAATTTGCAACTGGGTACCGGGAGTAACTGAAAACATTGACTATTCCCCAAACTTTTGAGAAAAATCCCGTGCTTTCCTACAGAATCTGGCGAAAACCAAGAGGAATTCCCGGGTCTTACCAGGAAATTCTTCTTGAAAATTAGGCAAAATCAGAGAATGAAAATCTCTTAACATTTTAAATACTAAGGTCGAGTGACCCGTCGTGGAAAATAATTCAACTCGCTTCTACGTCGTTATGAGGGCGGAAAATTTGACTCGGGGAAGGAGCGAGAAAATCAAAGGCCGCGCGGGCGAAAACAACCAAAATTGCAACTGGGTACCGGGAGCTCGGGCGCCCCCTGCCCTTGTCAAGACGTAATATTTTATCGACCATGAAGAGCCGAGTGCAGTGCACCGGGTTGCCGCGTCGCGGGGCGGGGGTGCGGGGGGCGCGGGGCTTTCCCGGGGGATCGCGCAGCAGGGCGCGGGCGACGCCAGGACGCATGCCCCCCCGAAACGCATGGCCAGGAGGAACCGACCCGCCGCCGCCCAAGCGCCCCAATCCACCAGCGTGGCTCCCAGTCCTCGCTCGGTCGCACCGAGTCCCCACCGAGCTCCTCAAACGCTACCCGAACGCGTGCTCCAGCGCTTAGTCGCCCGCCCAGGATCCGTCTCGGGCCTCTCGCCTCCCTGAAACGCTTTCAAACGCGCGTGAGACTCGCCGTTTCGGTTCCGAATCTCCGTTTTCACAATTCTAAAACGGTTCTAAAACGCGTGTGTGAGACATTTCTGAATCTCCATTTCTCACCTTTTTAAAACGGTTCTAAAACGCGTGTGTGAAACATTTCCGAATCTCCATTTCTCACCTTTTTAAAACGCTTCTAATGTGCGTGTGAAACTTTACGTTTCGGTTCTGAATCCACTCTCTCACCTTTCTAAAACGGTTCTAATGTGTGTGTGAAACTTTACGTTTCGGTTCTGAATCCACTCTCTCACCTTTCTGAAACGGTTTTAATGTGTGTGTGAAACTTTACGTTTCGGTTCTGAATCCACTCTCTCACCTTTCTGAAACGGTTCTAATGTGTGTGTGAAACTTTACGTTTCGGTTCTGAATCCACTCTCTCACCTTTCTGAAACGGTTCCAATGTGTGTGTGGAACTTTACGTTTCGGTTCTGAATCCACCCTCTCACCTTTCCCAAACGGTTCTAAACTCTAGTGTGGGATTCTGGTTCGGAAACTCAATTATCGCAATTTTAAAACGGTTCTCAATGCTTGTGTGAAACTCTCCGTTTTCATCGTTCCAAAACGGTTCTAATCGCGTGCGAAACTCACCGTCTCGGCTTCGAGTTTCTATTCCACCCGTTTCGAAATGGTTCCAAACTCGTGTGTTCAATTTTCCGTCTAGAATATCAATTCTCACCGTTTTGAAACGGTTCTAAACGCGCGCGTGGAATCTTCTCTCTCGCCGTTCTAAAACGGTTCTAAAGTGTGCGCTCGCCCTGTGACCCATTCCAACTGGCAGGACTCCCCACGCTTTCGATACCAGAAATATCTTTGTCGCGAGTGTGAATTCCTGTCACTTTGTATCTCGGCTCTACGCCCGCAAAAAGGTCCCAAGCGCGCGTGGTTCAAGGTCTAGACCACGATTCTCAATCGGTTCAAACTGGACCCTAATTCTTCAGGAACGTCGGTTTGCTGAGTGTCTTCGTGAGTCTAACGGCTCCACAAATGTGTTAAGGAAGAATCTTTAATGGTGCCCCGTTATTTTCTCACCGTTCGCTGACACAAGCTTTTTTTTTGCGAGTTGTTAGTCGCGAATGATAAAGTTAATCGTATGATGTACGATGGTAAAAGTTCTTTTCTCACTCTTCTCGTGTGACTGTCCCCACAGCATTGTACCTCGGCAGATGGAAAATATGACTAATTTCCAGTGAGATTCGGATAAAAATTGGGATCCAACGAAGGTGATGCGTTGCCAACTGCGCTCGATAGCGATAGTGCGCTTTTTTATCTGAAGTGAGGAAGTAAACAAAATTACGGTCCAACGCTCGAGTGTGCGAGCTGTTTACAAGTGATTCGATCGCTTTTACGGTCGTGCCCGTGCCCGTGCGGCAGTCCCACTTCAGAGCCCGTCGTTAAAATTTGACTCGGTCAATAAGGCGCGCGCCCCGCGGAAATGGCCCCGAGTTTTCAGTCAATTGACCCCCCCTCCGAGTCGAATTCGTATCGCAGAGTCGTTAAACCCGGTGTTTAAGAACTGAGCTAGCCGTGTGCTATCGATTAAGGTCCCTTCCCGACAGAACGGTTCTGTTTACTTCCGGAAAATCGATAAATAATCCGAGAAATAACCAGGTAACGGCTTTATTTGAACTTTCCTGGAATCGGGACAATTTTCGGGGTTAACGTGAAGTTTTGACCGGATTTTTTCTCTGACTCTTTTTTTTGGTTTTCTCTCTTTTTTCGTGCGCTTCGATCGGAGCGGGTTCTCCGGAAGTGTCTCGTGTGTTGTGCGCGTTCCGAGCGAGACGATGGGTTGCGAACTGGGGAAACTGGCGTTCGTAAATCGGCAGGGGAGCGAGGGGGCCGACAATTTGAACGAGGCACCCCCCGCCCCCGCACCCCCGGACCCCAGGCTCCCTTTGACCGCTAAGCAGAAGTACAGCATGTTGGCCTCATGGAAAGGGATCTCCCGAGCGATGGAGCCCACAGGGATCTACATGTTCATAAGGTAAGGCTCCTCTTTTAGCCCCGGCTCTATTCACTAACAAAATGCAGGGAGTCTTAGGATTAGACGGCTTATGCTGCCGTGCTAAGCATGGCGTGGCGTGCTTTGCGATATATCGATTGTTATGGCATTTAAACCTATGGAAAAGGATCGATAAACAGGGTGTTCGCAGCGAACATCTTAATGATCGATTCTTTACCATAGGGTTAAATAGCATAACAATCGATACATCGCAATTCACGCCACGCCACTGGTGCTAAGGAAAAACGCCGCTTAATGGATCGAGTCAATTGGTGAGGTCGGAAAAAATTTGGAAACTTTAAACGCTCATAACTCCTTCCATACATGACTTTGAGGTTCTCAAAGTGGTTCCGTTGGTTTTCTCGTGAAATTTTCTTCCGGATGCACCCGTCGAAGTCCAAAATGTGACGAAATAAACATCAAAATTTGCAGTTTTAGTAAAAAAAATTGTGTCCGACCTCTCTAGTTGACTCGATCCACTGTGCGCCGTACGAACGCTCAATAATGCCAAATTTCTCCGGAAAAAGCACGTATCACTGAGGTAATTTATGCATATTTTTCCTCGGGATTTTAAGGCATATTAGATTAAATTGTGTACAAAATTGACTGAAAAATTTGAAGAAAAATGTTGAACAGTTTCCTTGAAATTTCTGATTTTATCGGAGGAAACGTGGCAACGCCTAAAGGCTCATACGTCGTTTTTCCTTAGCACGGCAGTATGAAGACATAGCGTGACATTGTCTATAGTTAAAAAGTGCCTACGGTGTCGGGGGTTCAAAGGTACATAATTCCTGAAAATCATGAGGAATGACGTTTGTATTGGGAAAATTTACCAATAATGGGTCAATATCCTCCTTGGACGCATGGGCGCCCTCGCCTCGAGACCTACTAAAATCTACAACTTGAGATTTTGAGATTCTCGAGGCCGTGGATGAATGAAGCGCCAAAAATTTAGGGAGGAGGGTCGGACATTTTAATAACTTTTGTTTCATAATCGTTGCTGAAATGGAGGGGGAGCCCCGACGATTTTCCCGAAAATTTATAGAGGCAAAATCATGAGTGGGGGCACTGAATTTCATAGCAGAAAAAAGTATTCTTCTGACCTACAGGATACGCCTCTCTGGTTTCCCGTAATTTGGCAACATTATTTTTTCTCCATTCAAACCTGCGTTTGAATAATCGACTCTTGTCGGAGTACCTGTCCATTTCGAGAATCGATCGGGGGGAGAGGGGGGGCTGTGTCCCCCTTCCCCTCCCCCATCTACTTGGGCCCTCCCAAGAAACGTAAGGGATTTTGCCAAATAAGTGCGTGGTGTTAGTTGTATCTTTGAAAATGCAATTCCATGAATTTCTTAGTCAAAACAACTAATCTTCAACTGAACTTCTTTCATATTCTGTTCCATGTGTTTAAATGGGAAAAAACAAATGATGCCGACTCGCACGATTCGCTGACACCGGGGGGGGGGGCATTTAATCCTGGAATACAAAATCACCTGGAATCAATTATTTATAATGGATTAAATAGGCGACAAAATGGTATTGCCAACTTACAAGGATCGAGCAATACCCCGCTCAACGAACTTTCATCAAGCGAGTCCTAGTTTCGCGAACTTTCCTAGGAAACAGTTCAACACGGCATTTATCATTTATCAGTCATTTAAAGCGAAGGTGACTGCCGCGCAGTGTCGCTATACGCGTAGGAAATTGTTGAACACTCGGGAGTTCAACTTTCGTGTAACTCATTTACTTAGTTTGGGTAGCTGTCGCAGTGTAGCCGGTGCATAGTTTTCAACATATTCTGTCCCTGTTGGTGTCGCGTTGTCGCTGTGGTCGTATGTCAAATTTACAGCGCAAAAGTTCACCATTTCCTGGACGAACATGTGCAGAACCAGGNGGGGGGGGGGGGGCTGCGCCCCCCTTCCCGGTAATCTACTTGGGCCCCCCCAAGAAACGTAAGGGATTTTGCCAAATAAGTGCGCGGTGTTAGTTTTATCCTCGATATAATGCAATTCAATGAATTTCTTATTGTAAGTTGCCTTTAAGACGTCGTCCCAGTTTGCCGAAAATAAATTTTTCCCGAACCTATTCCTTTGAAGCGAGGGATATCCCTCAAACCTCTCTTTGAACTGGAGGAGTTTCACAGATCCCTTTGGTCGGGTGTTTTTTTATTTCCCTTCCCCTCCCCCTCTCTATGAGTTGCCCTTCTACCTCCACCCCCCCTACACACAAAAAAAAAAAAAAAAAAATTATCTTGTTCGTTCTGCGTATTCAGAGGAAAGAATGTAACTACAGCTCAGCGTTGCGAAATTACCACTCGCAATTTGTATCGTAACTCAGGAACTATTAGGAATTTATAATTGAATATTTCAAAGTTATTCCACCTAATATTGTCAAAAATAAGCAAAATCTTGGACAAATCATAGTCCTTAAATCGCATCATCCTTCCTCAACTAAGGAAATTTCTGGTGAAGCTATCTATATATTTAAACAAGCAGGAAGCTCCAACGCATTCGCGTCGGAAAGCGGCTCTGGCGACGGTAGGTAGTTGTTACGCGTTTACAGTTTCCTTGGTAACCTTTGTTTGCTATCAGCTGATGTCGAGTAGTATGACTAGGAAGCTCCAACCACGGCATTCTTCGAAAAAAGCGCGAAAACTTATAGATTTGAATTTTCAAATTTTAAACGTAAAGTACATTTTTTCCAGTGCGAGATTAAAGCACAGACCCGTTTTGAATTATTGACAGTATCACCATGATTCCAAAAATACACTACACAACATAGCATTCGCTCACAGGAAAAAGATATCAATTAAAATAAAATCAGTCCCCCCTAAACAGCAGAAAATGGCGCCGATTCTCATCAACCAACACGCGGTCTCTCCAATGTAACATGGTCCGTTGATACTCCCCAGCTGGGACCGTCCGGAATAGCAGCTCTAGTGCAAGCACCAGAGCCGCTAAAAAAGGAACCAATTTCTTGTACCACTGACTTTTGGAGGTCTACCAGGCCGATTCTCACGAAATTCACACTCCTATATCAGAGTGGGTTGGGGCTATAGCCCCTTAATTTTGGACGAAAACGTTGTTATAATATTTAAACAATCAAATCATTATGCGGAAAATAGACAATGTCGCCATGAAAATCAGTAATAGTTTATACTTCATCGGCACTATAGACTAAACTAGAAGTCAGCTATACGATGCAACAGAAACAAGCATAACGCCCTCATTAGTTATTGTTGAGTGCGACGAACACTCATTTTAACTTTTGGATGCAATTATTCGGGCTCCATGGATGTCCGTGTTGCATCCGCACGGAGTGAGGGCGTTTTGACTGTCCAGGTTCTCATCACTTTACCCGCGGCTCGCGGCGGGCTTTACTGCAAGGATCCAAAATAACAAAGGGCTTTCAATTTTTCGTTTATAATGCAAGAATATCTCTCAGGCACGAATAGTTGCATACAGGCGTAGGACGTTTGTGACCTCTAGTGCTTCAGTTTCCATATCCGACTGCGCTAAGCATGATTTGTAGAGCAACTATTCATGTTTAAAAGATGTCTTTAAAGCATACATGAAGAATTGAATGAACTTTTTACTTTTAGATACTCGTAGTAGCTTGCCGCACAATAAAACGAAGAGAGGTTTCAGAAAGGTTGGCATGAAATCTGCGACTGAAGCCGCAAATTTTGATGTTGATAAATTGTATGGGATGCGGATTGAAAGAAATTTCACGAGAGAATCAATGAGACCCCTTGTAAAACCTTTACGTTCCGTGTTAACACCGATTTGAGTTTTAGGTGTTCCCACATTTTATCCAACTCCTTTCATTGACTCCCGTCACTAAGCACCACTGTTGAGGCAGTTAGCGTCTCAAGTCATACCGCCTTCACTTCTGTGCGTATGCAACACGGACATCCATGGAGTTCGAATAGTTGCATCTCGGCTTTATGAGTAAGTAAAGATTTAAACATGGGACCGGTCCGTAAAACGTCATGTAAAGGTTTCAGTCGATTTCCTCTGAAAGTCTATTCTTCAAGGACACTGTTTTCTTCCTCTACCAGCACGTCACACAGGCTCATTGAAATCTCAAAGATCTAATCATAGAACTAACCATTTGACCAAAACCATTCATGCAACTAAATTAACTATGCAATCGATCTGTGAAAATATGTTCCAATGGACGTTACGGTTGAACTCTATAAATAGCGATATTTAAACTTGTTCGAAGTACACACGTCCCTGAAGTGGCTGATTTTACTGCGAGGAATGATAGCGAGTTCATTGGTCTCTCTGCACAGTTCCTCGGTTGAAATCTCTCTTCCTCAAAATTTATCTGAATCACTCGATTTTCATTCACTTAGCAGACCGAGTGGATAATTTCTTCATTTCTATATTTATGACTTCATCTGAAATATGACCAAACGGAAGTATACGCTTTCCACTCAAAATGTATTTTTGCAGCTTTTCCTCAGAGCGGTGCTCTTTTGAAACCGAACCTCAAAGTGTGTTGCTTGGGCGTCTTGAATGCTTTCATAATACAAAGAGCTTATTCGCAACGTTTGATATTAAAACCTGCAAGCGATTACTTCTGAAAGACGCGTTTGGCGCTTTTGATGTTGAGCTCGGCCGTCCGTATCCTTCAACTTTTCTAACTTGGAATATCATGCCGCTCGGGCGTCAGCAAAGGGAATATCTAAAAAAGTGTATTCTTATTTATTTCTCCTGAAACCACAGGATAGACGCAATTATTTTGTTCAGCGATGGCCTGACCCACATGAACCGGATTCGTTTAACGCACCCTCATTCAAAGATATCGCTTGTTTTTATGATAATAAAGACATTCAGGATATTTTACGTTTATGATTCAGAATATTCGATGGCTAAGATAAAAAAATACAATCATCCGATTGCATCATTGCCAGTCTCCGCTCATGGGTTTTTTTTTTTTTTTTTTTTTTTTTTTTTTTTTTTTTTAATAATTCT